TGGATGATAGGCGGCGGTGTTTATTAACCAAATAGGATTAGAGTAAATAAGCCTGCATGGGCACGCACTAGGAGAAAGCTGTTGACCAATATTTAAAGGATTAAATTCGATTTTAAAATATGAAATTGATGAGTAAAATATCAAAGTCAGAACTTAAAGTAGATTGACATTAAAGGATCTGAATGTAATTAATGTTTATTAATAAAATAATAATCATCCAACATGTCAACATAAGCTCTTTGGTCCAGATAGGATACTTAACAGTGCCTCTGGGGAAATTAAGAATGGCACTTGTTACCATGTCTGGGGCTCTATTTAGATAGGATGAAACAAAATGAATGATTTCTTAGCTGTTGTCTTGGATAATGAGTCAGAGCAAGTCAAAATATTGCTTACACAACAGTCTCGTTTCCTGTTGACTGAGTTCCGTCCTATTGCGCAACTTAGTACAATAACCAGTCCAAACTTTTGAGACCAATTCATTTAGCTGGATACATAAATATTAATCAGTATAATTTCATACATCTAAGCACTTGTATATTGCGACACTACGCTCCTTCTAATCCTTGCAAACACGTCGTGCAGCGTGCTCTGTCGTACAGCGAGCTCTGACAAACGGAAACCTGGAAATCGCGGAAATCTCAAAACGAGACTCTGCCGCTAGAAAGTTTGGCGGTCTGTTACGGAATTGATATTATATCAATCACATTGTGCGTTACAGAACTACACTGAATAAGTGCAAAAACACATATCAGGTGTAACCAGTGAGCCAGATGCATTGTGAATCATTTTACGACCTCATCAAACAGGGGCAGTCTGTGACGTCTTAGTTAAGGTCATGCTGCCTACACCTCGCCATAAAATATAGAAATAGGATGTTATTGAAGATTAAAATTAAAATTCATTTGTAAATACCATTTTCTTATGAAACAAGGAATTGGAATTCAGTGTAACCATAGTTGTTTGAGATGTCTATTTTCACTTCCACACGAGAAAATTCGGATCGGCTGAAAAGTAGGTCATTGTCTGAATAGGTTAATGAGACTCGGTTTGAGGGTATCCATATTAAAATTTGGATGAAACTGTGGCTCATATTGTCAGAAATTCATGATCACAGATGCAGTCAGCACATTATTGTTAATATAATTGTTCTTGTTTCTATACTACCCATCAAAAGTTTAGACTCACTGGTATACATATAGCCACTTACTTCAGGCAACTGTTCTAAACTAGATTTTGCAAAATATTCCATGCTGTTTAGAGGTACCGTTTACACATTAACTAATGCATTGTAAAACAAATTCATAACGTTGAAATGATTATTGTCATGAGTAAAAAAAATGAGGAAACTCAGTGAAAATTGGCGAATTCTTAACAAAACTTTACACCAAACGCAGCTGTTATTATATAATATTTGCACATGCTTTTCAGCAATTTACTGCATGATCCTCGTGCAATTCATCTGCATATGGTTTGCAGCTGGTTCCCCCAAGATAGTGGAGAAATTCATCTTTGATGTAGCCATACATATATAAATAACATATTGTGAGTGCTTTAAGTGAGTCTAAACTTTTGATGGGTAGTATATTTATGTATGTTTTAAACGTTTAGCAGTTGTTCGAGTTCACAGTTTCATCACGCTTGGACGATATGGTTTATTTGTTGTTTAACGCTGGACCAAACAATCCAGTGATCAACAGCATGGGCATCGATTTACGCAACTGGGATACGATAACATGTATCAACCAAGCCACCCGATCCCGTTAGTCGCCTCTTACGTCAAGCATGGGTTGCTGAAGTCCAATTCTAACCCGGATCTTCACGGGTCTGGAACATATGGGGTTGTTCAAGTAGATATCGGATTTGTCAAAGCAGTTGGTGTAAAGGTTTGGTGGTACTAGTACGTTCTCGTGGAGATCGCAGAGAGACTCCTCTTACTTCCTCTGACATTAATCATAGGTGTCATGATATACCTTAAATACCTTGAATGTGTTTCTAGGGTGTCCAAGAAACACTACGGGGCCCCAGCAGTTTGGGCCACCGGTACCCAGGAATCCATACTTCAGCTTCATTTCGTAACAACTACCTCAATCTCGCTCTTTGAGGAGTAAGTTAAAAAAAAGAAAGTTATGTTCAGAGTCGATCCGTTAAACTACTCGTCTGAGTTTTAACGTTTTATTGTTCAGGGCACGGTGGTAGAGCCAACTGTATTTCTTAAAAAGGTCATGGTAAAACAGTCTGGCATATTGTAATTTGCCCACAGTGCGATGTTAACCATTTATCATTGCCAAGACAGATAGTTATGAGATTACCAAGGACATCTGAATACATGAATCAAAGGTACGCCATAAATCTGGCGCTTCCTGTTGTCAGAGATTCAGTTGACAAACTGATCAGTTGTAATTGTCGCTGATATTTCAACCAAGCTGGCTAGCAAACTTCCGTAATCATTTGGCAGCTCTGGTTACACGCAAACATATAACATGCGAGAATGTTTCTTCAATGATTGAACGAACGGAATGACGGACAGACAGACGAATTAAATTGAATGAATAGAATTAAATTGAGCGAACGAACGAACGAACGAACGAACGAATGAATGAATGAAAAAGTGAATGAATGAATGAATGAATGAATGAGATGAAAGAATGAATGAATTGTGTGAATGCACAAATGCCGTTGCGGTGCATGTCGTAATTGTTTATTCATAAACACACACTTATGATATAATCGGATTCGTACAATGGACTATATTTTAGCAGATTTTAGCAGTTTTTATGATTTTGGTAATGGTTTGCGTGCTTCTTTTAAGGTGTACAGCATCAACAGTAACATGTTTGGATTTCACAAGCCTGTGTTACAACCGGTGGTATCTGATATTCTTTCCGGACATTTCGTAATACACTTTTATACCGTGGGAATATTTGAAGCTGAGAGATCTCACCGAACCTTTTACTCATCAAGATTCTAAAGCTAATGTTTAAAGGTAAAACCAAGTGTTTTCCACAGTATAATATGTTAACTTTGGCTCCATTAGGTGAACAACTGACAACACTTAGCATATGTTCATGACGGGTGCCACCGGTGAGTGAGGCAGGATACGCTCACCTTCTCGCGAACACCTGGTATCATAACTATTTCTCAGTAATCAAGACATGCTCTGTTATCGTATCGCAAGGTGACAATCACTGGATTGTCTGATCCAGGCTCGATTTGTCTACAAACAACGTCATAGAGCTGCAATACTGCTGAAACAAATATATGCTCATGATATAGTCACCATTGTACAATCGACTTTGCTTCAAGCAGAGATTTCTTATATATGAGTGAAAAGGGGGTTTGTCGTTTCTTTTTACATCATTCAACGAACACCACCAGATGAAATACATGAATTCATACGAAGGGGTCTAATTAAAGTCTTACACGATGTCCACACCTTGTCTTGATAGCTATGTAGTTTTACATTCTGAGAAGGGTGGACTGACTGAGTTTAGTTTTACGCCACTTTTAGCAATATTCCAGCAATATCACGGCGGGGGACACCAGAAATGGGCTTAACACATTGTGCCCATGTGGGGAATCGAACCCGGGTCTTCGGCGTGACGAGCGGACGCTTTAACCACTAGGCTACCCCACCGCCCCTTGGAGAAGGGTGGGAAACATTCCAGTTATGCTGACGTTTTAAAGAAACGCATAACAATGTATCACTTAGCGACATGTGTTCAGCTGATATAACTTTTGATTAAGTATTATACCATTAACTACCGATATCCATACATATTTTGTATATACGTGCGAATCCCTTGTTTCCACACTGGTGTAGCCTTGCAAGCCTTTCTCAATCTCTGAGAGTTCCCAAAGTCCCAAAACTTTCAAAGTTAAATTTTTGCTTACCCGATTTTTAAACGTTGTATATTTGTTCCTTTAAATTTCGGCTAAACTCGTCCTACAATCGCCAGCGGTTGAAGTGATGGTGTAAATCCAATTAGGGTCCATGCAGGTAGCAAAGGCACTCTAAGTCCCCATGGTCCCTAGTATGGTGATCTACCTTCAGTTGTTGGCGATCTTTAGCCCATTTTACATTGTATCGTCCAGAAATAATTTTCTACTTTTAAAGATATATGCTAGCTAGTTTTAACTCAATCTGTGATAATCTAGTGGTTTTAGTGTCCTTTTGTTGACAGGGTTTTATATATTATATGTATGTATTATAAATTTAGAACTAGTTTTAGTCACGATATGGCTGAAATATTGCCGATGTGACTTTAAATCTTAACTCACTCACTCACTTTCTCAAATTTCCATCAACTTTTCAACTGTAACGACCATTCAACTGCAGAACATATGTGTTGTTTGCAAACCCAGAGCAATTTGAAACATAATTCGATGCTTTACCGTCAGGAGAAATATATTCAAAACCATCTAAAGTTAAAATACAAGAAAGCAATATGACATTTCTGAAATGTGAGTCCTGTAACTGAAATTAACTACTACAGCTGTCATCTTTAAGATTTTATTATGATTGTTATAATTATCAAAATATTAATCGTATTATGATATAGAAAGTCAATGTCGAAATGAAGCCTAACTGATGCCTTTCACAGGCGTAGTGGACATGTCCAAATATGTCCGAAATATCGATAAAGCATACATCATTTTATTTCAGTAATAGAGCATCAGACCCACGTAGTGCTAATACAATAAAAGTAATTTGAAAAATGGCGCAACGGCACCAAAGTACAGTTGTAAAGATTTGCGATTCAATGTAAGTTAAGTTATTAAACTACCTCTTGGAAGTATACAATCCAGACAAAGAGATTATTATAGCCCTACCCCATGCAATGTTTTCTTAAAGTTAATTTGAATAAAGTAATAAAGTGGCGAGACTTCCGCGTGAGTTCATGTAAAGAACGCAATGATGAGACCTCGAACCCAAACCCAAGGGTTTCCACTTAGAAATTTTAATTAACTTCACCGTTGCTGAAAAGTCTCGTTTGCTCATTTAACGAGGCGCGGTGGGGTAGCCTAGTGGTTAAAGCGTCCGCCCGTCTCGCTGAAGACCCGGGTTCGATTCCCCACATGGGTACAATGTGTGCCGCCCATTTCTCGTCCCCCCCGCCGTGATATTGGGATATTGCTAGAAGCGGTGTGAAACCATGGTCACTCACTCATTTAAACGACATATGTCTCTAATCTGTCCCCGTGACTGATAAAATCAGTTCTGTTTCCACCAACAACATAAAGTACAGGAATATTTATTAACGCGCTCATAAGATTACAGATTGAAATCAGGATATTTTGTCCTTGTTTGTGAGTTAATGTGGTTGCCTTATTGAGCGAAGTCACTGTGAAAAAATACATGTCAGTATATACTTATGTAGGAATGAAAATATCCAATTGTTCAGGTCACGATATGTAATGTACATGTTATTTCACAAAAATAAGCCACATGATTTGTGTCTACCCATGCCCTTCAGACAGGCTGAAAGTAATTCTGGCAAAACGTATGATTTCAATTGAGTATATCACCTAAAAACGACAATTGTCCTGTTTGACAATGCATACGGCAACCAGAAATGTGTTGAAAATTGTAAACCAAACCCACTGATGAAATTGGAAACTTAAAACTTTGGGAAGATACTTCAACATATATTTGTAATCACTAAGGGCAGCATTATTATTTCTTGTGTTTCACATCGCCCGACCGACCCTTCTAAGATTTTTGACCCCCACAAAAACAAACCCAAAACAAAAACAAACAAAAAACAAACAAGACAAATCACAAAACAACAAAACTAACCCCAAAAACAAAACCAAAACAAAACAAACAAACAAACAATGAAAAAAACCAACAACTTTTTTCAATTCCAACACCGCCGACTCGAACCTAAAGCATACCGCCTCGTCATATAAAATGTTTATCTTTTAATCAGTTGCTGCCACAAGTCCAAAGAACGCGAGAAATTACAATAAGAATTGCAATAAATGAGAATCAAGAACATTATTCAGATAATTTGGTCTTTGTTAATTTTTATTTTTCCCGACCGACCGACCGACCGACCCATGTTCAGAATTTGGTGGGTACGTGAAACACATAAACAAAATGATGCCCTAACAGACATGATGAGGACATCCTTCTGCATTACTCATTACTTGTATAACAGACAATGTTTCATCATACAGTTGGTTGGTGTATCGACAGATATACTTTGAAAAACGATAACACATCTTCAAGAGTAAACATGGAGAGATGAGATCATCGCGTGTTGGGTTTTGAGATGATAAATGACTACTGTGTTTAGTTAACCATAGGTCTATTCTTCACACGTGAATTTCGTGCAGATAGCTATGTAAACTACAAGCGACAAGCTTTCCTTATTTATCAGATTTCTCCGTTTAAAACGGCCATGCGGCACTCAGTTATTAATTACTATCATTTTGGGCTGTTACAGGGAGTTCATGAAAGGGTTTGTCAGTCTTGTCATATTATATATTTGGGATTACACTTTTTTAGTAAAGTACACTTCTAGTACTTTTGTTGGGTTGAGTCCCTTCCGGGATTCGAACCCACACCCTCATGTCAGACACCTAATCGCCAGAACACAAAGTCAACCGCCGCTCAACCACCGCGACTTCTACAAAAATGGAAGTCGAACAACTGGTAGTCTTGACTGCGGACTTTGTGTATCCCTCTGATATGTCACCTGTCGCAATCACGATGACAAGAAGACGATGACGTGCGTTTTCTTTACGTCGTTCCGTTACATTGTCCAATATTGTAATAGCTTGGAGGAATAAGTAATATAAACTTAACAATATCAAATCTAATAAAAGTTAAATTATTAAAATATCGGTATTCTTTTTTTCTCAACTCGTTAACGTTAGATCTTCAACTATAAAGGGCATCAATGCATTTTATTTGATTTAAGTTCTTCATGTAATTTCCATATACCCTTTTTATTTTAAGGTTAATGCTATTACATTTAACTATGTTTGAATGTAATGTTATTACATTTCACTATTAAGAGAACATTTCCGACTTTGTGACCAAGTAAATTTGAAGTGATAAAGTACGTAACCCAGAGACCCTCGAAACCGCCTCACGAATACGGTTCCCTGGAGTATATCATTACACAGAATATTGACAAAACTCTTGTATAGTTCCTGGAGTGGAGTCTCATTAAATGTCATCACAAGTGGATTATTTGTTATATTGTTGTATTCCTTTTGGACAACGGCAACTTTAATGATGTTAGTTGGGTGAAATTTTGATCGGTGAGCATTAGATCGGTAGTTCGATAACCTGCCCGCTTCACGTGAAAAGGTCCTCATTTTAACCTGACTGGCAAGCGCGCGCACGCACGCACACACACACACACACACACAGAGCCATACACACAGAGCCCCCACACACACACACACGGACGCTCATACACACACGGACACACGCGGACACATGCATGCACCTAGTTTCTAATATTTACAGTAGTTGGCGTTAGACTGATTACTGTTCTATAATATGTGCCCAACACATTACATCTGTCACTAATTGTAGGTTGTCCACATATCTACTATCTGCAGTCTTCCACTTAATGAAACTAACATGAAAACACCTCACTCGATCGAATCTTAAACAATAAAATAATAACCTCATAAATTAACTTCTTTGAGAGGCATTTTAGAAGTTGTATAGATGAAGGAAAACTAAGTTCTATGGATAGTCAACTTCTTTATTGCAACGAGTGCGACGTTTCGTTGTAGGTACTAACACCGTTATCAAGCAAGCGATACATAGAGTTGTAACATGGAGAATATATTGAGTATTGCATTTGACAAGGTTGATATACATTGGATTGCTAATTAGTGATGAGAGCAGAGTAGGTCGATGTACAGAGTGATAGTGATTAAAAACAATATGCAGAATGAGTTTATACAATAGATGAGTTGATGTTCACTGAGATGGTAATAGTGAGTTGAAAAGAGTAGATGTGTACATCAACGTTTCCCTCATAAATTAAACTCATTTTTGTTCTTCTATTTGCAATACGTATAGCAATTGTATAGTACCATTTGATACTAAAGGTTGCAAGTTATCTCCAGCATGGGATCTCAAGATTCTCAAGATTCTTTGAGAAAGTGGGTGGGGGTAGGGGGTGCACACTCTTGAGAAAGGGTGTGTGTGTGTGCACACTTCATTTTCATCGGTTTTCACGAAAGTTTCAATGGTCATTTAATAAACTTTCAGGAGAAAAGGGGGGATGCGCACCCCCCCCCCCCTCCTATGTAACTGTGTGATGTTTTCAAATGAAGTTTATGTGCTGTGACATGCGTAGCCATCGTGACAGTAAGTACAACGTGGCAAGAACGCTGTCAAGAGTTACTTCCCTTGCATTAAAATCCCTCCACCGACAGTTGAATGAAATCAATGGAAAAGCGTGTGTCGTCTACAGTGCAGGCTTGTGAATCACACCAGAGGGACTTTTCTTGCTAACTGAAAAGAACTCACTTGCACCACAGATACATGTCTACAAACCTCTATACTATCTAAACCTGTTTGCTTCAGGTATCTGCGCCCATTACAATTACACTGGATGCATTAAACTTACCATACCCGTGAAGATCCGGGTTAGAGTTGGTCTTCAGTAACCCATGCTTGTCGTAAGAGGCGACTAACGGGATCGGGTGGTCAGGCTCGCTGACTCGCTTGACACATGTCATCGTATCCCAGTTGCGTAGATCAATGCTCATGCTGTTGATCACTGGATTGTCTGGTCTAGACTCGAGTATTTACAGACCGCCGCAGCTGGAATATTGCTGAGTGCGGCGTTAAAGAATAAACCAACCAAACCATCATCATCATCATCATCATCACATTTGTAATGCGCTGGTATCCATGCAGTCCATGCTCAAAGCGCAGATAGAATGTAACAAATTACACAGTTATAGTTGAAAAGGCTGTCCTGAACAAATGTGTTTTTAACTGGGATTTGAAAGTGACAAAGTCAGTACAGTCCCTGAGATTCTGTGGAAGTTTGTTCCAGGCCACTGGTGCTGCATAGGCAAGGATCTGTTTCCATACTGCACTGTTCTAGTTTTAGGGACAAGAAGAAGACTTTTATCTTGTGAACGGAGCGAACGAGAAGGCTTGTACAGAGAAAGAAGACTGGATAAATATGTAGGGGCAGTTCCAGACAAACAGCGGAAGACAAGGCAAACCAACCATTAAGCATATCCGCCACATCGCTATTTAAATAACCTATCTACAAGTCTCTACAGTACTAATTTTACACTGATCCTCAATGCACATACACGAGCGCTGGGGTAGACCGTTCGCTTGTCATACATACCAAGAACCACTGTCGATTCCCGATGTAGGTTCAATATGTGAAGTAAATTGTCGATCGGTGTCCTCCTTGATATTTTGGGGGCGGTGGGTATAATGGTTAAAGCGTTGGCCTGAAGACCCGGTTCGAATCCACATGGGTACAAATGTGTGAAGCCCATTTCTGGTGTCCCCAGCTTGATGTTGCTGGAATATTGCTAAAAGCGGCGTAAAACCAAAATCAGTCAGTCAGTCAGTCAGTCAGTTGATATTTTGGAATATTGCTAAGAGCAACTTAAAATACTCACTCATGCACTTCATTACATGAGAGTCTTTCGAGTATATTCCGATTATTTATGAGCGCCAGATTGTCAAACAGGCAACTAAAATTAGAATTGAAAGTTATCCATTTTTATCTCACCATTCCGAGCTACTTCCATTTGGACGTCGCTTTCGATTACATTCCCTTAAAACAAACAGAGCTCCACAGTCCTTCATAGCATCTTGTATTCGTATTATTAATGCAACAAATTTTTGAATAGTCATCATGCATGCGATAACTACTAACTCAGCATCTTTACCTATGGGGCGGTGGGGTAGCCTAGTGGTTAAAGCGTTGGGTCGTCACGCCGAAGACCCGGGTTCGAATACCCACATGGGTACAATGTGTGAAGCCCATTTCTGGTGTCCCCCCGCCGTGATGTTGCTGGAATATTGCTAAAAGCGGCGTAAAACCAAACTCAGTCAGTCAGTCAGTCTTTACCTATGTGGTTAATTGTATGGTATCTTCAGCATTCATTTTGTGCATGTAATTATTGTGTATATTTTTGTGAATTTTGTATATATTCATTTTGAGGTCGTTTTTGATAAAAAAAAAAGTTCCTCCAGGATAATAAAGTTATATCTTATCTGATCTTAACTGTGCTATACTAAACACGTTTCTTCATGTTTCAAACACATTGTGCAGGTCTCAGACATGGGAGCATAGTTTATGTTTGTTAGAAACATTTGTATCCCATTGAGTAGCTTCATGCAGAACTGACCGCATGCTGGTTTTAAGAAGCGACTACGGATCGAATGGTCAGGTTTGTTGACTTGGGTCGTGTAACTGTACTCACTCACTCACACTATAACCCACCCCCAACCAACACACACACGCACGGGGCGGTGGCGTAGCCTAATGGTTAAAGCGAGCGCTCATCACGCAGAAAAAACCGGGTACGATTCCCCACTTGGGTACAATGTGGGAAGCCCATTTCTGGTGTCTCCCGCCGTGATATTGCTTGAATATTACTAAAAGCTTAAAACCACACACACGCACGCACGCACGCACGCACGCACGCACGCACGCACGCACACACACACACACGCACACACACACGCACACACCTTAACACATCACAAGGTAACACATTAACACAAACACACATTATGTTCCGACGTTTTTAAGTTCTAGATTTGAAACTTCAACAATCATTGCTGCATGAACGTGATGTTTCTCATGTGATGCAGATGGTATAATATGTCATTTTGGTGTACATCTAAATCTGTTATGAGGAGTGAAAGTACACGGGTCACTATAATGACTGCAACATTCGCTGTCGACGTAATTATTACTTTCGACCCCAAACTGGCACTTCCAACGGACAGCGACTTCTGTAGTCATTTTACGCGCTTTACGCTTTAAAGGGAAACAGAAGCTCACCTGGATCGGTTGTTTCTTCATTATCGACTGGTTTTACTTGTGTTCAGCGCCATTCTCGAACTGTCAATCAGCGTATTAATCCTTTGAGGTGAGGTGCGGTGAAATTGGGTTTAACGTCGTGCTTGAGAATATTTCGCTCATATGACGACGTGCATGCGTGTGTATGTGTATGTGCGGCTGCTTGTACTAGCCCAGACTGAAGCTGGTTTTATAGTGCTAGCCCACTGAGATACCATACCACAGTGAAGCATGCATACCCCACTCAGACACATTATACTGACTCCGAGCCGACCAGTCCTTGTTGTACCCATTAATGCCGAGCGCCAGGCACGGACCAACAAGTACCATATTTTAACATCTTTTGGTATGACGCGGTCGGGTTTTGAACCCGCGACCTTCCGCTCTCCGGGCGGACGCTCTAACCACTACACCACGGAGGTGGTCTTTAATCCTTTGAATAAATTATGTTGTTTCTATGTAGGCGCCAACATACGGATGAATTCCGTTTGCTGCAGTATGTATATTAACACTTTTGAGTGAGTGAGTGAGTTTAGTTTTACGCCGCACTCAGCAATATCATCCCAGCCATATGGCGGCGGTCTGTAAATAAAAGAGTCTGGACCAGACAACCCAGTGATTAACAGCATGAGCATCGATCTGCGCAATTGGGAACCGATGATACCAACCAAGTCAGCGAAACTGACCACCGATCCCGTTAGTCGCCTCCTATGGCAAGCACATGGGTTGCTGAAGACCTATTCTACCCCGGATCTTCCCCTGGTCTAACACTTTGAGTGCGAGATAACATTGATTAAGCAATAACCGCATTATATACTTATATATATTTACTCACTTAAAACACTCACTATATGTTATGTACTCCGCCTCAGTGAGGCTTTACTATGTATAGCTACATCCCTTGATTTCTCCACTAACTTGGGGAAACCAACTGCAAACTTTATGCAGATGAATTGCACGAGGATCATGCAACAAGTTGCTGAAAGCATATTGTGTTAATATCGTGCATATGAACAGCTGCATTTTTGTTGTAAATCTTTATTACGAATTTGTTTTACAATATTTTAGTTCTTTTGCAAAATGTTAACAGTACCTTTTAACAGTATGGAATATTTTGCAAAAGTTAGTTTAGAACAGTTGCCTGAAGTAAAATGGCTATATTAACACACATGAGTCTACACTTTTGATAAATTTGAATGACATTTTAGAAGTCGATGAATAATAAAAAAGGTATGATACATTATGGATGGCAACCGTGCTTGACAACAGTATACCCGACTGACAGAGGTTTTACGCCGCTTTTAGCAATATTCCAGCAATATCACGACGGGGGCCTAAATAAAGCCGGGGGACACCAGAAATGGGCTTCACACATTGTACCCATGTGGGGAATCGAACCCGGGTCTTCGGCGTGATGAGCGAACGCTTTAACCACTAGGCTACCCCACCGGGGCTGACAACGGTATGAGAATCTATACCGAAACGGCACATCATAATATAATAAAGGAGTTGTTATCCATAAAGTATCATTCCTTTCTGACTAAAAGTTGGAATTTTGTTTCCCTTAAAGTTTCCAGGGCTAAGTTGCACTGGTTAGTCCAGTAACTGAGTAGTAACTGGCCTGTCGTTCCATATCCCTAATTCGCTGGGAATCAGTGTCTCTCCAACTGACCAATCAGAGTCCGCCTTTCATATCAAGTGAAAAGGCGGAGCATAGTCAAGACGATCGGACCAATAATCTTTATCGCAAAAAGACAAAAGAGTTTACCGAGCAAAGAGCATAAAGTCACTTGAGCTTTATGATCAAATACTCGAAACGATTTTAAAATTTTGAGTTCACCTGCTCTGCAAATCCTTCAATCAACCGAAATTACACGGCTTTCGCCATGTTGCTTATGACCCGGATGTCTGTTTCGTCGTTTCGAGTTTGATTGGACCATTCACACACTCGTTAGCCAAGCTAAAATATAATTTCATAACTTTAGCCTCCAATAGACTCCTCGGGTAGAAACGCATATACATGACTCGACACAACCAATGACTACACTAATTGAGACTTATTGTCTTCATACTACTATCATTCACTACAAATGTCTACAGAAGTCCATACCACTATCACCAAAACTCATCCATATGCCTCTTCAGCAACCAGGCGGGGGTAGCCTAGTGGTTAAAGCGTTCGCTCGTCACGTCGATGGGTCGGGTTCGATTCCCCACATTGGTACAATGCGTGAAACCCATTTCTGGTGTCCCCGCCGTGATATTGCTGGAATATTGCTAAAAGCGGCGTAAAAACTAACTCACTCACTCACTCTTCAGCAACCGTTGCTCAAAATATTGATCACTGACGTTTCTGGTCCATAGTCGATTATTTACAGACCACGGTCATATAGCTGGGATATTGCTGCATGTGGCGTAAATCCAACAACGAACAAATATATAACTTCAAGTCAATGTACATATATAATGATTCAGTTTCTAAATGAATATGGTCGACACAAAGAGTGAGTTAGTGAGTTAATATTTATCGTCACATCGGCAATATTTCAGCCATATCGTGACGAGAACATTTTATAATTATATTAAAGATGAATAAAGTTAGAAATAAAAACCTGTTGACGAAGAACAGTAAAACTACTAGTGTAGTCGACACAAAGAAAAAATATAGATGATTATCTTCTTCTTTCCGCGTGATTCAACAGGGTCACTGAAGCATGTTAGTCTTTATGATAAGAAACATTAGTCAAACTGACACTTGCATCCGATATTGACTTGTGTAATCATATTACGGTCCTGTTGATGATGCACGAAAGCGAGTTCCTCTAATTTTAGGCCGCACTCGGCAACATTCTAGCAATATGGGGGCACTCTGTAAATAATCGAGGGTGGACCAGGCAGTTCAGTGATCAACAGCATGAGCATCGATCTACGCAATTGGAATACGATGACGTAGGTCAACCAGTCGCCTCTTACTTTTGACAAGCATGGGTCACCAGGGTGTACACTCTTGAGAAAGGGGGATGGGGGTGCACACTTCAATGGTGATTTAATAAACTTTCAAGACAAAAGGGGGGTTTTCAGTAAACCCCTGCATCCCCGCCTCTGGATCCGCCGGTGGTTCCTGAAAACCAATTTCTGCACGAAAGTAGTGCTTCAGATGAGCTGACGCTGGTGTTTTAAGTTGAATAAAGTGAAAAACAAAATTACCTGATAGTTACATTGATGTGATCTGTTTATCCGAAATACTTTTCTTTCAACACCAACATCATTTGGTTCGACGTAAGTACCAAAACTGTGATATTCTTGCTTTGAACATGACATCGTGACCCTAGACATTAAATGCTGTTGTAGCGAAACGTGTCCTCTCACTTCAGAACACAGAGAATAAATGCTTAAATAAATCTCAGAGATTTACACTTGTTGCCCATTAGACATCGGGTCAGTTTCAAGTTGCTCGTCTTGACGTACAATGCTCTCTATGTTGAGTCATCGCCTACTTATTTCAGAGATGTACACTGGTTGCCAATTAGACATCGGGTCAGTTTCAAGTTTCTCGTCTTGACGTACAATACTCTCTATGCTGAGTCATCGCCTACTTATTTCAGAGATTTACACTGGTTGCCCATTAGATCGGATCAGTTTCAAGTTGCTCGTCTTGACGTACAATACTCTCTATGTTGGGTCATCGCCTACTTATTTCAGAGATGTACACTGATTGCCCATTAGACATCGGGTCAGTTTCAAGTTTCTCGTCTTGACGTACAATACTCTCTATGCTGCGTCATCGCCTACTTATTTCAGAGATTTACACTGGTTGCCCATTAGACATCGGGTCAGTTTCAAATTTCTCGTCTTGACGTGCAATGCTCTCTATGTTGAGTCATCGCCTACTTATTTAAAGGACCTTCTATCGGTCTACCGTCCATCTAGAACCTTACGTTCTGCCCAGAAGGAGGAACTGGTTGTTCCATCAACATCAACAAAGCTGGAGATCGTGCCTCCTCAGTTGCAGCTCCCGCCCTGTGGAACGCGGTCCCCTTGACACCATGAACAGTGACTCTCTCTCTCATCTTTTAAGAGAAAACTCAAAACATTTCTTTTCTCATCTAGTGATTGAACTGTAATAAAGTGACTTCTAACGTGTAAAGCACCATTGAGCAGCTGCATATAGCTGGAAATAGGGGCTATGCAAAGCAATTATTATGTTTTACAGATTAGAGATAGTATGCAGCAGAGAGTGTTCGGGTGATCCTGGCACAGTCAGAATGGTAAGGCTCATCATCAGCTCAGGATCCTTGTCCCCTCTACACGCAGCCCAGGCAGCGAATGGGACTTCTCCCAGGAAACGCTGCCTAGTCGAACCCACCAAGAACTTTCCGGAGAATATGAAGGCTCCCCAACACTGCAGCCTTCTGCATTACCCAGAGTATCAGAAGGGCTGTACTCCGGTTGAGAACCCGGCACTCTCCTGATCTGCGCCAAGAGATCAGGAGGTACCAAACCAAGGGCACCGATAACAATGGGGAGCCTGGCGACAGTGTACTTGGGATGCAAGCGAGAGACATTTCAAAGGCGAGGTCCGCATATTTATCATGCTTTTCCTGAATCTTGCCAATCACATTGGTGTCAAAAGGGACAGAAAATTCAATGATATAAAATAAATTCATTGTTTTATTATTATTATTGGTGTGTTGTTGGAACATTAGAAAGTACATACAAACATCTAGGGTACGAAATAGCCCGTGGCTTGTAAAATCCAGTGGGGCCAGTTAATCTCCACAGACTCAGTGATTTTCATGGAGTAATTCTGTAAATACAGCTCTCTCTGACTAAGTTGCAATACACTTTTAAATCATGCATGATTATGGCTTGAAACAAATGTTCATGATATTAGCAGCTTCCCATTGCATAATCTCTTGCTTAGTTTCTACATTCAAATGTCGGGCTAATGAATTATTTTGTGGGCTAGTAACTTTCAGGTACAGCTAGCCCGACTGGCAAGCAAAATTTGGAAACTATTTCGCACACTGCAAACATCTATCTCCAACGTTTTACCGTAAAAATCAAATAAGTCACTTTAAGTCACATGTTTTTAAACGAAGAATATGTTCACTCTGAGAAGAACACTGGATACGCTTCCTCGTCTTCCTCCGGCGTGATTCGGCGAGCTTTCTTCTTAGGCGGCACGCCATCTTGAATATTGTGTTCTTGCCAAGTTTCCATGTATGGATCCGGGTCAAATTCACCAATGTTCGGCAGATTATGGAAAATTCGCAGCTGGTCGCGCACTTCATCTGCTAGAAGACACTCCTCTTTGTTCCGTCGCTGAAGATAGTGAAATCCCTTCTCTACCTCAACCGACTGTCCAGGAATGGTAAGAATAAACGATAGAACAGCTAGGACATTCTCACACTTTCCCTTACAAGTCGGTATGATGCTTTCCCACGAAGTATTGGCAGGACTTGAAAATCTGTCGTGATCAAAAACAAATGTCAATACCCAACACTAATGAAAGCAGTCACATTTCAAGAATGTAATTTTAATTTTCTCTTTTCTGATTATCAACTCTACACCATTTATATCACACTGAGAACAAAGGCGTAGTCAACTTAATGAGCGACGCGTCGAAGAAAATAGATTCTATCACAGTCCCTCCAACATTAAGAATATCATATAAATGGTAACAATCAATCTATGTTATGTAGCCTGGCTTGTTATTGCCAGTTTGAACTTTAACATTTTTTACCCATCCTTTGTGTAATTGGCGGCGTGGATTTGATTAATGTCACCGCTGTCATACATACGTCATAGATAGCAAAGATGATGTGGGCTGCTGTTTGATCAAGGTTACAATATTCATGGCCTCAGTAAAGCTTTCAGAAAGTTTCATCGCAGACATCTGGAAGATATGTCCTAACTTGGTCCATAATTATAAGATAATAATAATAATAATAACTAGGATTGCCTCCTGGGCAATACTGACGGTCTTCAGACCTCCCCATAGACCCCTCCGTGGCTACCTTCACTTGTACCGTTTCTTTTGACGCCAGCTGGACCGTCCATTTGAACTCCCGGACTTACGGGTGTTTGAAGTGTATTGAAGTGCTAGAAAGCGTCCAAAACGCAGGCAGAACATGTTTTGACACGAGAGCGGATCGGTGAAATGCAGCCGGGGTCATGTAGCTTTTTAAGTAGTTCCCACAGAAGATATAGTTCTATCTTTAACTGGCCGTAGCTCCGCTGTCCTTGGGTGTACTGTTTAAACGATTAGTGTTCTGGAATCGCCACCATCCTGGGTATCTGACGCATAGACGTATATGCATATACTGCACTTGTGAAACAACCATAGATTTATGTGTGTATATAGAGTGCATTCAAAAATTGAAATAAAACTCATTTCTCACTCTGTATTTGCAGTGTTTATTAATGCAAACTTGTTCTCGGCGCTGTATGGGTAGGATAATGCCGATGTATAAATGTAAAAGGCCAATTCAAGGGAAACTATTTCTTTAGGCATTGAATAACGTTTCAGCAAAGATTTGACAGCTCCTTGTCATTGTCAATTACATCTGTCGGTGAAATTCACATCGTCTCCCATATTTGCACGTGGACCACGCTTTGCAATGGTAGTTTCTTTATAGGACGCATATACTACAAGATACATTACTGGTAAATGTTGCAGACTTTGTTGTGGTCAAAAAGTCAAGTGTATTCTTCTCACAGTGAGGCTGGTAAACAAAGTGCTGGAGAGATCGCATCCTGGCAATTCCAGAACACGAATTCTTTTGAATGTAAACCTAAGAACAGCGGAGTTACGGCCTGAAAAGAAGGAACAATTTCTGTGGGCACTGGAAAACCAGGACGTCGGCAGTGTTGCTAGATTTTACGACACTTCCTCCAGCCATATTACAACTCTCACAACTGAAAAAATGCGAAATCCTAATGTCCCTCCCTGTTTGTGGCGTAATTGTGGCGTAACTATTGACTTTACATAATAATAATGTGAAGCAAAATTGTTCCACATTTCCCATTGTGTACAGTTTGGTACCTTCAAACATGAAATACATTGTGTTTTCGCAGAGCTGTGAACACTATAAAACGCGTTTTGCCAAACATTGACCAACTTCCAAGGGCAATAACTCCGACACTATTCAAGATATCGACATGCATTGAACAACCTAAGTAGTCCGGAGTGTGGGCTTTAAAACGATATATAGAACACTATTGTACGATTTGCCGTTCAGGAGCAGAGAATTGTTAAACACAGGCACTGTCAAAAAGTGCGGAAATTTGCAAAATCGCGAAGGCTGTGTTTGTGTCGTAATGGTGACGTTATTATTCATTTTACATAACCATGATGTGAAGCAAAAATGTTTTCAATCCAATTACCTACAGGATGGTAATTAGAAAAATGCAATCCATAGATTTTTCGCAGAGTTGTGACATTTTTCTTAACCCTATGAAAATGCGTCTTAAAAAATATCACTGACTTCCAAGGGCCATAACTCTTAAACTATTCAAGATATCCATATGCCTTGACGGGTTTAAGTAGTCCGGAGTGTGGGTTTTAAAATGATATATCGAACGCGATTGTACTATATGCCGTTCTGGAGAAGAAGATTTTTAAAGACAGGCACCGTCAAAACGAGGAAATCGGCAAAAATTTAGTTTTTTCAAAATTGCGGAAAATTTATTCTGCCGCGAAACTTCGCCTATGGGTTGAATCGATGGGGAAAAGATGTTGTCTACATTGAGTGAAAATTTGGTCAATTTAGCTCTTATAGTTTTGAGTTATTCAGATGTAAAGATTTCGACATTTTGGGTTGTCTGCCCTTACCGGAAGCCGGAAGTCGGGATTTTTCGACTATGTATCAATTTCAGCACACAGGCTATCATCCCTGAAAGTTTCACGAAAATCGGCCCAGCGATTAGGTCAGGAGAGCTGTCACAAAAATTGTACAAATAATAAGAAAGAAGAAGAAGAAGAATATTCGGATAATAACAGTAGGTCTTCCAGACTTTCGTCTGAAGACCTAATAATAATAAATGGATATTTCTTATGCGCCATAGTCCATCAAGAGTCACCAGAGTTCAAGAGGAAGATATGACAATTCGTCAAAATGACCATGAGAATATTTCGCAGGTATAGGTTGTAGACTATTTTTGAAGAGGAAGGTTTTGAGTCCCGATTTGAATGCTTCTAAGGATGAAGCATTTTTTATGGGAGTAGGAAGACTATTCCATAGGGTTGGTGCTGCAAATTTGAATGATCTATGGCCAAAGTGTTTGAGACGAACTTGGGGAACTGATAGAAGATGTTGATTCTGGGGAGCGGAGAGAACGGGCAGGCATATATGTTGACAACATCTCAGAGAGGTATGGAGGAGCTAGGCCGTGTTTGCAGCGGAAAACAAGAGTGCAGATCTTGAAATGAATTCTTGTGGTTGGTTGGTTGTTGTTTAACGCAAAATTCCAGCTATATGGCGGCGGCCTGTAAACAGCCTAGTCTGGACCAGACAATCCAGCGATCAACCGCATAGACATCGATCTACGCAACTGGGATACGATGACTGAGCCTGACCACCCGATCCCGTTAGCTGCCTCTAACGACAAGCACGGGTTGCTGAAGATGCAATTGTAACCCGGATCTTCACGGGTTGGCGCATAAGAGTGACAAATGCTCGGTGCAATTTCCTACTTAGACTCGTGCCATATGTTCTCGTGTTTTGCGTTTGAATATGAGTGAATAATATGGTTTTACGTTTTACACCGCTTTCAGTAACATTCCAGCGATATCTCGTAGGGGACACGAGAAATCGACTTTAGACAATGTACCCATGTAGTGAATCGAACCCGGGTGCGAACGGTTTAACCACTCGGCTAGTCCACCGCCCTCGGACCGCCTCCGTGGTGTAGTGGTTAGAGCGTCCACCCTGAGAGCGGAAGGTCGCGGGTTCGATCCCCGACCCGTCATACCAAAAGACGTTAAAATATGGTACTTGTTGGACCCTGTCTGGCGCTCGGCATTAATGGGTACAACAAGGACTGGTCGGCTCGGAGTCAGTATAATGTGTCTGAGTGAGGTGTTCATACTTCACTGCGGCATGGTATCTCATTGAGCTAGCACTATGAAACCAGCTTAAGTCTGGGCTAGTACAAGCAGCCACACATGCACATACACACGCATGCGCGTCGTCATATAAGCGAAATATTCTCAGATACATTTAAACCCAAAAACCTCACCTTCACCGCCCTCGTGTAGGATATATATGTAGATTGGTTTAGATCTTGTACATTTGACCAATAGTTCAGGGATCTGTGAGAGACGTCGCAATACGTTGGAACAACCCAAATACTCATCATTCGGTTCTTACAAACATAGGGTAGAAAGAAGGCCTGTAAATACAGGCTACATATACGTTTGTCTCACGTCCAGAAGAAGGATGTTCACTGTATATATTGATCTTCTGAAAAACAATTGTTGCCAAAAAAGGTTCTACCCTCCCTTTCAGGCAATGGGCCTAAAGTGAAATCAGCCATGACCTCGCTAAAAATAGGGGACATAACTCGACCTACCTCCGCCGGACATGATTTTTCAGCTGAGACCACTCCATCAGGCACTTGTCAGTGTCGACTCCGCTGTCACGCAGGACGCCGCTGTAGGTCTCAACAATAAGTAGAAGGTCCTCATCGGCATAGTCTGAAAAGTTCCCAGATGGAAAAAGGTCTTACTCGCCGTATTGGCCGTACCAAAACGCCGATGACATGCAGGGCTCCAGATAAGGGCCGTATCGGCGTATGTACGGATAAAAAATATGCACGATACGGTAGGAAATAATTTAGAAAACGTAGCAAATAGCAATGGTGTACGGTCTTAGAATCATTTACAAACGTATTTATCTGAAAAAGTCTTGTTTTATTGTTCATTGACCTGTTTACACAAGAATCAATGTTGTGGTGCATACATGAAACGAAACACAAGATTACTGATACTCCATTAATTTCCATTCAGTACTCTACATGTACACTTAAGGTTTTCCAGTACTCCTATATTGAACAAATAAGGAGTACGTACTCCTGATGTTGAAAAAATATCTGGAGCCCTGACATGTGTCGAAAAAGTCAGGATATACGTTTCTTTTCTTGGGGGTCTTATAATGCTGACAAAATGTAACCTTTTTAAAAGTTTCCGTTTGCTGGTTCTTGTAATTCTGCTTTCATTTCAGTCTTAATCTTAACCAGTTCCCCATGGTGAAAACATCCTAGCACCTCATTTGTAAAGTATGATACTCGCCGTAACATAGACCAAGCACATTAGAACTTGTAGCTTCATTTTGTTAATTAACCAATTTGCAGATAACATTTGAAACAAATAACGTCTTGAGAGCTGCAGTAGGCAACAACATTTCTTGAATTATTGTAGATTAAAACCGTAACAGTAACGAAACTATACCGGGTTTTTTTAGAAATAAAAAATGGGTTTCCTGACGACCGATTATGTCGCAAACTAAAACAATTTTTGGTCCACACAAGCCATTGGCAAGGTGAGCGTCCACGTGTTTCCAGTATTTGCATCTAAATGTAAAATGCAGATTAACATTTCTTGGAAACATAACGCCACATTGAGAAGACTTATTTATTTTGTCATGAAACACAAATATGTCCTGTTTATGCTTCATAAAATTCATTCTAGATGTTATCTGCTCTATTTGGGTTGGAATGAGTATGTGAGTGAGTGAGTGTGGTTTTACGGCGCTTTTAGCAATATCCCAGCAACATCGCGGCGGGGACACCTGAAAATGGGCTTCACACATTTCACCCACGTGGGGAATAGAGGATTGGAATGATAAAACTAATACAAAAGGGGCAAAACGAAGCCTTGCATTACGTCTGAATCAAAGAACAGATATGGCAAGTAACATTTGGAAGGACTTATTAATCACCGTCCATTCACCGTATACACAAGGCGACGCACACGATGTTCGAGTAATTCAAGGTATCCCAGCTTGTCGTATAAGCCATATAAACATCGCCAACACGACCACTTCCAGATTCGTTTGAAGACCTCACAAAACTATTTATGCACGTCACATACACCGAATCAGCACATTCATAGCTAGGACCACGGACTGTTTATTCTAGTGTTCGTCACACAGCTGCAAAAAGCACGTTCCCTGAATGTTCAATTAAGATTATGGATGAAAGCAAAATTATTCACTTATCTTCACTGGCTTTCCTGATGTTGAGGGACAAATCAGAAGAAACATCAATAACCTAAGCTTACGATATGTCATCGACTTAATAAAGTGTAGTATCTGACAAACCAGATGTGCCTTTGGTTGTTTTGGATTTGATACTAACGTTGCTCGTACCATAACTTCATGATTGAAAACAACTGATTTCTAACCTTTCAGGTCTTCTGTGTCCTCGGGCCATTGTTGAAGACTTGCAAGTTTTGCCATGGCGGCCATCTTGTCTTCCTGAAGGTCACACAATCGGGGTGCAAGGTCAGCGACGAGTGACGTCAGAATGAATTCACGGTCAGTCTCAAAATCATCCATACCTTCAGTCGAGAGGAAGAAGCCTTGGAATTCTGGATCTTTTTCGACTTTCACAAGCTGTTGTCCCGATCTATATTGAGATACAGAAAGGTTAAATCGGTCTCATCCCAACAATCAAGTGGAGCTTGTAGAGGTTTAGTGTCAATAAAGACTTTTAGTTATGAATTTCAACATTTATATGCTTCAGTGCAAAATGTGATATCAAGCACCTTTATTGACACAAATGCTATCATCTGTACCCAACGTCATACTGGAAGGATATTTAATATAGATGTTGAAATGTATTGACATCCTACACGACTAATAGCATAGCTCTATTGCTGTCTCATATTTGCAACATTTAACAATTTCTTTCACAACTATAGGCGCAGAACGCATTAAAAACTCATATAACCTTTTACAATTCGGTATAAAATGTTAACCAAATAAAATATTACAACCTCCATACACCAACGATGTATAAACATCATTTAAACATTTTACGACATTGTGCAATACATTAACCTTTTATAATTCGGTATAAAATGTTAACCAGATAAAATATCACAACCTCCATACACCAACGTTGTATAAACATCATTTAAAGATTTTACGACATTGTGTCTACAATACAACGTTGCAAAAAACGTTATTGAAACATTTTGAAATGCACAATACATACATACAGTTTTATGTGACAATGCAGAGTTGAGAGTTAGGAGGAATCCAGCTGTATCGACTTAAGTCATGTCAAAGATCATTCAATCTTTTTTCTCTCAACCGAACTAAACTTCTAGCGGTTAAATCCGTTAACCAACCTATATTGTTCGGTATCCCCACGGAGACGTGAGCATCTCATATTACCTTTTTTGTAATTTCTTCACGTTGTCAATGGTGTCGCTGATGGTCTCGTACACCTCTCCAATGGTGGTGTCACTTTTCCCAAGTGTTTGGAAAGCATTGTCGAGAACTCCCAGAAGGTCAGACAAAAAGTGAATATATTTGACAAAACGATGGGACTTGAAGAAATGCATCACATCTGGAATGCTTGGACAACTCCTGTTTTCCTGCTGTTAAGATGAATAATATGTGGTTAAATAATCATTAATTAATCACTTTTTTGCAGTATTGCCTTAAATAATGGAAGTTTTCAGTACAGCGAAATGCAATAAACTAGAAAAAGGTGAAAAATTGATTCTGAGATGGATTTGTTGTTTGTTGTTTAACGCCTAACTCAGCAACCTTCAAGCTATATGGCGGCGGTCTATAACTATTCGAGTCTGGACCAGACAAACCCGTGATTGACATTATGATCATCGGTCTACGCAATTGGGATACGATGACATGTTTCAACCAAGTCAGCGATCCTGACCATCAGTTCCCGTTCGTCGCCGCTTACGACAAGCGTGGGTTGCTGAAGTTCAATTCTAACCCGGACCTTCACGGTGGGCTGAGATTGACGTGAGTGAATGTTGTTTCACGGCGCACTCACTGAATCAACAACGATTAGCTATATCATGAGTCTGTATATAACCGATATTGCTGTTGGTGGCCATACCGCAGCAATTAGATCACTCTCATAATATTCCCTGAGTATATGGCTTTTAGTGGCAGAGATGAAAACCTCGAACATTATTTGATCGGATTTTTGAAAAACCGAAATTAAGAGTGAACCCAACCCACCTTGTTTAATACTCCCATAATACTGGAGAACTTCTTTGTCAAAACAAGAACATCAGCAAGTCTATCTGATGGCCATGTTGTCTGCTCGCACAAAGACTCTCCGCTTTTCCGGGACAAGGAATTTGGGAACACATCCTCACAAAGTTGTTTCACCAATCTGAGACCGTCTGAGATTTGTTTATCGTAGGGAAGCGGTCTAATTGTCTCCGTCACAAACAGCTGAATTCGGTGGAGAAGACACCTATGTGCGAACAGTGGTGGTGGCGTCTCCGTTGCGGGTGGTGGTGGTGGTGGTGGAGGTGGAGGTGATGGTGATGGCGTGACACCTGGCTCTGTTTTTATTTTGACAGAAGCAATCTCTGGTTTAGCTACAGGAGGGTCCGGGACTTTCTTGGTCTCATACCACTTCATGTCTACATTATGGAGGACACCGATCAGCTTTGGTTTCCAGTTGATGCCATCCAGTTCTGTCCCCAAAGCCTTCTCCAACTGTTCTGAAAAGCTCCCTTCCTGCTTTGCTTCTACAGTTAAGGCGCTCACAACGTAACATCGTGATCTTCCTCGTTCAGTAGTTTTAATGTAAAAGACAAGCATGTCAGCAGTGCGTGTAGTTACTGTGTCACATATAACGGAGAAGTAACGGCACTTTTCAATGGCAGCTCGAAGTCGATTAGTTACAGATTTCGCAATCAATTTCTGTATTGTTTGGCATTCTTCAGCGTCGTGCTGGTCTCCCATGTCCAGTCCTTTGGCTTTATCCAAGTCGCACATCCACACGTAGTCCTGTTTCGACATGCCTCTCTTAGCGGCAGCATGTGCATTTAAAAACATGGCTTTCACTTTGTGCGAGGGATAACTTTGTGTGAGAAAACTCTGGGATGTCCTGGGGATTCTCTCAGACTGTCTGCAGATTCAGTGTTGTGGTAGGTGGAACTGGGGGGATACTGTTGCTTCATCATACCCTGGGTTGGTGCTGTGTAGGAACTGAGTTGCCTCGCAGGGAACACAGAACCTTCTGAACGAGTCGTGTCCATATTTTTTAAGAGTCTGTCGTGCATGGCCCTAAAGCCTTCATTAATCATATCAGTTGTGCTCTTGTATTGAGAAGCCCTGACGTTGTTGGTGAACAGGTGAATGGGATGAGCAAATTGCATGGGGTGTCCGGCTATTGCAGGTCCAGAGGATGATGATGGAGATGATGCATCTGTTGAAGTTTGGTCAGGGCTCCAGGTGTGGAACACGTCTACGCCTGCCCCCGACTTCATTCGAGCGACTTCCTCAGCACTGATGTGACCTTTGCTCTTGGCATGACTCTGAAGGGACATGATCTGGAAATTGGAACAACCACCTGTAAAGTATGCAGAAGCCGGATCCGAAACATCGGGGTTTTCTTTGCAGATTCTGCAGAACATCTTGCCCAATACCTCGTCGAAGAACACCCAGGGATATGCGTCCTGCCAGTGTGGTTGGAAACGCCGCATGCGTCGTTCTTGGGGTCTTGCTCTGTCCCCTCGGTCATCCGTAGGGCTTACGGAACCTGGGAATTGTACTATTGGAATAGTGGATGAATCTGACGTTTGAGGTCTGATCATCTCGCTATGTCGTTATCACAGATCTGAAAAGTGAGGGTTTAAGCTTGGATTAATCGATTTAATGGGTATTAAAGTGAGTGAGTATGTTCGGCTGAATTCTATGAGTGTGTTTAGTTGAATGTTGTGAGTGAGTTTAGCTTTACGCCGCTTTTAGCAATATTCCAGCAATATCACGGCGAGGGACACCAGAAATGGGATCCACACATTGTGCCCATGTGGGCAATCGAACCCGGGTCTTCCGCGTGTCGAGGGAACGTCTTAACCACCAGGCTACCCCACCGCCCCAGTATGTTGTGAGTGTGTTTAGTTAATCAATATTAATATTTATATCACATTGTCATGTTTACAGGGCAACAACCCGAAGTGATTCAGGTCTTAAGCTTTTACCCCTTGAGTGAGTGAGTTTAGTTTTACGCCGCACTCAGCAATATTCCAGCTATATGGCGGCGGTCTGTAAATAATCGAGTCTGGACCAGACAATCCAGTGATCAACATGATGAGCATCGATCTGGGCAATTGGGAACCGATGACATGTGTCAACCAAGCCAGCGAGCCTGACCACCCGATCCCGTTAGTCGCCCCTTACGACAAGCATGGGTTACTGAAGATCAATATTCTAACCCGGACCTTCACGGGTGGTTTTTATCCTGTTATGTTTCGATCATAGGTTCGATGCTGATAAACCTTGAAGCATAACACAGCGAACGCGTTCGTAGGGTTCTCGGGCGCCTAACAACCGCCAGTCTGCACAGCGATTTAGGGCGACTGTCTGGCTGTCTTGCTGGTTTTCATACACAACTAATTTATATGGGCAACAAATATTACATCATCATAAACGCATTAAAACATATTCTGATCAGTGATTTGTTCTGGGCAAATTACTGAAGAATATCAACGAAGCTGCAGTAAAATCACTGGTGTGCCAAGATCATAATCCATACCACGCAACGAGCCTACATGCACAGACCTAGCCTTTTACTGGACGCTCACGAATTGTTTGTTGCCAGGTTGTCAGGTGTTTTATAAACAACTAACGCACATATGACGCCATGCCTTCATGCAAATACGTACCTCTTCTACAACTGGTATGACAATTCACCCTGATCGACATAAGTGAACAAAATGGCTGCTAATCTGGCAAACCGCTACTGCTATATCGAATTAGTATAACTGTAAAGTCACTCTTCCTCTCGTCTAACCACACGCCGCGTTAAGCTGGTAGAGCTGTACTACTACGCGGGCATTGAAGTCACGTGACAACTACGGATATAGGTCACTTATCCACCGCTGTGCCCATTATTGACTCAACGTATAGCTTCGTGCAGTGTTGTTACAGTAGTCAAACCTATAACCGAGTCCTATTCGTTGAGGGGAGAGTGTTGATTTGGATGGCAGAGAAGTGGTTGAGGTGTTTTCGGATGAAATGCTTCATGCCACAAGTATCTGGTGCAATGGAATTTGTTTGAAATAGATCGTGGACACTGAAGAATATATTTCACCGATACATCGCATTTAGATGATATCAGACTATAAACTGGAGAAAACCAGTAAAAAAGTTTGTGATTGAGGCTCTAGAGGAGGGGTTAGTTACCATTTCAATTAAAATTCAACAGAAATTTATAGCTTGTATTTTCTATCACAAGAAGCCACATTTTCTCACATATTATGTTTCGTTATCTTAGGACCGATAGCAAGCTCCTTTGCACTTGTAAAACTGACGTGCGGCGGACCAATATTGATGTTTCAGATGAATGGTGTGAATTTAGGCTTTCGCTCAGTCGCCTGATTTGCCGTGCAGAGGATCGTTGTTTAGAACGCCGGTGATCGTTCAACTTGGTTCTACTCCCTCTTTATCTTGTTATGTTTCTTGATTTGTCAGCAGTTTCACTTGGGGAGGTCGGCCCACGTTAAGCTGGTAGACAGAATGACTGTCACAAGTCAAAAATACATGCATGCATGCATGCATACATACATACATACATACATACATACATACATACATACATACATACATACATACAGATACATGCATAGATACATACATACATACATACATACATACATACATACATACATCCACAGATACATGCATAGATACATACATACATACATACATACATACATACATACATACATACATACATACATAGATACATACATACATACATACATACATACATACATCCACAGATACATGCATAGACATACATACATACATACATACATACATCCACAGATACATGCATAGATACATGATACATACATACATACATACATACATACATACATACATACATACATACATACATACATACATACATACATACATACATACATACATCCACAGATACATGCATACATACATACATACATACACATACATACATACATACATACATACATACATACATACATACACAGATACATACATACATACATACATACATACATACATACATACATACATAGATACATACATACATACATACATACATACATACATACATCCACAGATACATGCATAGATACATACATACATACATACACATACATACATACATACACATACATACATGCACACATCCACAGATACATACAGACAGACAGACAGACAGACAGACAGACAGACAGACAGACAGACAGACAGACATACATACATACATACATACACACATACATACATACATACATACATACATACATACATCCACAGATACATGCATAGATACATACATACATACATACATACATCCACAGATACATACATACATACATACATACATACATACATACATACATACATACATACATACATACATACATACATACATACATACATACATACATACATACATACTCGACATTTCGTTACATAAAAAAACATGATTCTTGAGTGAGTGAGTGAGTTGGGTTTTACGCAGCTGTTAGCAATATTCCAGCAAAATCACGTCTGGGAACAGGGAAAAGGGCTTCACACATTGTACCCATGTGGGAATCGAACCCGGGTCTTCGGCGTGACGGGCGGACGCTTTAACCACGGGACTTCCTCGCCGCCCCAGGTTCTTGAGAGGCATATATGTAACAGAGGTATTCGTACACGTACACTGTATGTAGGTTCAATGATGACGAACACTTGTGTGGGGTTTCAGGGATTTATTCGGCGCTGGTGACGTGGGATAAGGTGATCCCCAGTTGGCAGAACTATAACAAAACGCCCTGAATAATAAAATATCCATCAATTAATACATGTCTCCTGTCATAAAATACGTATCATGTTATGCATTCAATATGGTTACAACTATACTGATAACTGTCAATCATCCAGATTTAAGTAAAGACATGTACTCTGATTATTACTCACATATATAACAATTATAATTACTAATATTTACAATCACATTCTGAAAACAATACCTCACCTCGTCTCAGGGACGCAGGCAGAATAGTCCAACAGGTACTAAAACATCTGATTCTTAGTGAACCTAAATAAACAAAATATTACCTAAGTATACTGCTAGTATATACAGATATACATCATAAATGGCATTAGCGAACACATAAATAGTTATTTACCCTAATACATACATAAATATGCATATAGAAACTAAACCTTATAATAAACATGCATGATACACATTACTGTATCATGCCAATCATAAAATATAGCTAATACATATACTTATACATACTACATGTGCATGATACAAATTAAAGCATCATGATGTATATACTAGTGTACCCTGGTACAATACATCATATATTTGTCTAAAATACTAAGCATGCATATATTTATAGACAAACACCTCACATACACTAAATATGATAAAACACTATTCCTTAAAACATGTAATCTAATACACTAAATCCTAATAGCCCTACTATTCATGTAATACTAAAGATCTAACTTAACTTACCCCATAATGTGCTGGTGCTGTGCAGGTATTGCAAGTCTCAAGGAGAAAATCTATACTGCCACAAATGAGAAGGCAGTAGAAGGCTTTAAATACGATGAGAAGCTGAAACCTTTGAAACAATAGGAACCTTGACAACAGGCCAATGCAGAGATTGAACCTGACACAGATCCTTAACCTTAACAATAGCAGTGAGTTAGTTAAACAGTGCAAGTGTTAGTGTTAACACAGGCCAGTTTAGTAATGATAAAGTTTTATACCTAAGTTTAAAATAATGAAGTTTAACACATTAAAATGACATTTATTTACACACTGTTACATATAGAAGATGGTATTCAAAATTATTATGGATGTCTTTTTTATTGTATTTTGGTCTCTATCACTTACCCAATTAATGTACTGTAACAATGCTGAGTTTAGCAATATTCCATCAATATCACGGCTGGTGACACCAGAAATCGGCTTCACGCATAATATTGCACTCATGGGGGAATCGAATCCGGATTTTGGGAGTGACGAGCGAACGCTTTAACAACTAGGCTACACCATCGCCCCAACAAAATGAAATACAGTCAACTCTCGTTAATCGGACACTTGTGGTTGCAGAGAAATATGTCGGATTAACGAAAATGTCGGATTAATGAAAATGTCGGATTAATGTATTTGTGTGAAAATATCAATGTTTACTAAATGTCATGATCGTCATACTGTTGCATGCATATCAGAAATGGTAGATCTAGTTATCTTCATCGTATGTAAAAATATTCACAGAAATAAAAAATACTAACAATACATACTTGTTTTCATTTATTAACATTCATAGATGGCATAACATACATACATAATCACATAAGCGAACAGTTTCATATCTATTTCATGACCACATTGGCACAAAACTCACGTTTGTTTTTTACCGCATATCAGCTGCCATTATGACCCGGATGTTGAATATGTTACAGTTTCCATACAACTAATTCCATAATAACATGTGGACGTCTAATGTACAATCAGGCGTGTATCATAACATATATAATTTATAACTTGAAAAAGTCATTGATGGTCATTAACATCAAACACTAGAATGAAAATGTGAATTTGTTAGTTACCCCAGCCATAGTGAGCCCCGTTGATAGTCAAAGCTCCTCACAGCGTGTTTAGACAGCGATGCACAGCAAATCAATACAGTGTGGTGCGTTGAGCTGTAGCACAAAGCGGGCGAGTACAGTTTCGTCAATCTGCGAAGGACATTGTTTCCTTGAGAGTTGATGAACGACGGTATGGTTTGTTTGTAAATCTCAAAGGCGTCTGTTTTCATTTCATTTGAATGTCGAATGTCTACTTACACCGAGAATCAAATAATAACATGAATATGAGAAGCAATGTGGGTAATTGAGAATCTCGATCAGTTCGGCAGGGTGTTTTCTAGACATTTCAGTGGTACAACGGACGGGTGAAGTCATTGTCTTTACTTGGATGATTTTCTGTTTATAAAAAGAAGTTATGAATGCCATGTAGATATTAAATTCATGTGGACAAAGATTCAGCTAAGTGTCAGAAGAAGTGTTATGTAGGCATGTATTTGTATAATCAACTCCTTTCATTCGTCGGTAGCGTGGCCGAGCGGTCTAAGGCGCTGGTTTAAGGCACCAGTCTCTTCGGAGGCGTGGGTTCGAATCCCACCGCTGCCACAATGTTTTTGATACTTTTATTTTTGCCTTTGATGGTGTACGTTAGATTTCCTCATTCCTTAACGTTTTGAAACATACTACATTTAAATTTTAAAATTTAAGAAAATCGTAGCTAAGACTCAATCGGTATCTTTGGCGAATGATGAAATGCTCTGTGACATAATTCGAATACACGATGCACCTCCACGCATTGAAAATAATTGTTGCGTACCAATTACGCATTTTAAATGTTAGATACGCAAAAAGTTTAAAACAAATGCGTACGGAATATATTTATAAAATCGCTTGCGTAATGAAAAAAGACATCGATTGCTATCAAGTTGTACTGTTAGTAGTATAGGACAAGAGTTATTACTGTCAGTATAGGATGAATGATTTTTGTGGAAATCATTTCCCATTAATATTTTAAGTTGTGTTTTGATTAGGTATGACATAAAACCAGAACATACCGGCTTTGTAAACTTACTCAATGACATAAGACTTAGGTGAGTAAAATGACTGAAATTCGCACATATTTGAAAGCAGTGGGTAACGGAAAATGAAATA